CAGTTTACTGTGTGAGCGGGGTGTGATCCCAGGCAAATAAAACACATTCCTTACCTTTTAAAGGTGCCCTAACACTGTCAGACCAAGCAAGTGACTGGAGCAGAAATGTGCTGCATGGTTTTGTGGCATGTTTCCCCCTGTCCCAGTTAACAAATTAACAGCAACACCATTCCTCTAAGTTTAAAAGGTCAGCCTCAGTGTGGAAAATGTGGTGCCAGCTAGGGCAGAATCCTTAAGATGATATATGCTGTTATTTTGGAGCTATACCAAGGGAAACCTCGTTGGTTCTGCCAAAAAAACAAAACAAACACACACAAAAAAACAAACAACCAAAACACAGACCCACACACAAAACGGATGTCCAGAATAGAATTATAGGACTCTCAGTCCCTGGAGTAGAACCATATACTTGATAACTTGAGCAAAGCCACCATTCCTGGAAACAATGGGGACAGAGAGCACAGAGGCTGGGTACCAGAAAATGAGTTTGTCTCCAGCAGGGAAGGGAAAGCCTTGGGGACAGAGGGCACACAGGCCCTGATCCCTTCCCTTTTGAGGTTCAGCATCACCAGAATCTTTCCAGAGGAAGCGAGATATCCTTGGCCAAGCAGTGTTGCCACCTTAAAAAGGGAAGGAAATCTTACTCTATGTAACAACACAGATGAACCTGAGGCTTGATGCTTAGTGAAACAAGCCAGTTACAGAAGGAGAGATACGGCATGGTTCCACTTATATGAGATATTTAAAATGGTCAAACTCATAGCAGTAAAAACAGAATTGTGGGTGCCAGGGGCTGAGGGAAGTTTGGGAAAGCAGGGAGTTGCTGATCAATGTGTATAAAGTTTCAGTTATGAAAGCTAAGTTCTAGGGATCCGCTGTGTAACACTGGACTGCAGTATGCACTTAAAAATCTGCTAAGCAGGTAAATCTCCTGTTAAGGGAAAGAAGGAAGGGAGGGAGGGAGGGAGGGAGGGAGGGAGGGGAGAGGGAGATGCAGGACTCAATTCCACCTGGATGCACTGGCCAGGAAAGGGAGAGCCTGGGATACAATGTATGCAAGTTGAAGTGCTGTTTTCTGGCTGGAACCACTTAGCCCCCAGCCCCCAGGGCAAAATACCACATTTTTGAGAAATGGTGGCTACTATGGAGTATGGACCTTGAGACTTGATACTCTGGAGCCCAAGGAGGCAGCGCCTCTGTTGCAAATGCAGGATGGCCAGGAAGGGCTCAGCCACTGCACCACCAAACATCCTTCCAGATGCTTCCCATGGGGCTGAAGGCTGGCAGCAGCTAGCGCCACAGGCAGGTGGACTGGCCAACAGCCTCAGGCTGCCTCTCTGCTTGGCATTGGAAGTTCCATTAATGGGTTTGGGAGTATAACACTAATTCTTAGGAGAAAACAGGAAGGGGCATGCTCAAGAGGAAAATACTAGACATCTTGGTAATAAAAAGAGCTGAGGCGTCTTAGTGATTAATTAGAAAAAGAAAAGAGATATGAACATACTGGCTGCACCCTGAGGCAGCGCTCAAGTGCTGAGCTTAGTTTGGATATCAGAGTTTGGGGAAAAGGAGGTAAGGCATATGTTTAAATTATGGATATATAACAACATGTATCAGGAATAAAGGTTTATGTTTCTTCCTTTATGGCCATGCCCAGTCCTGACATCTTTCAGTCACTAAGGAAGCAGCCAAAAGAAACTGGCAGGGGAGACCCTGTGCTCTAGGGGAAGACTGGGAGGCTTTTACATCTCATCACACCCTTCTAGTAACAGCTCCGCTCTGAGACCCACACTGGCAAGCGCTCACCTCTCCCCTGCCACCCCAAGAGGAACGGAACCTGTCAGCTTTCCTACAAGGCAGTGGAAGAAAGAAAAACAAAGTCAAACGGAAAAGCGAGAGTTGCATCTGTTCTGTTTGAAGGCAGCAGGCAGGAGAGGGGGAGGCTTTGCTGGTGCAGAGGCACCGTGGGGCCCTGGGGGAAGCACGCCTGTGCGCTGAGAGTTGGGAAACACCAAGCGCAGGGAAGTTTTAATGAGCTGGAGCAGCTCTTTGATAGTCGCTGATGTGGAGATGGAAACGGAGCATTTGAAAGTGTGAGCTTTCGAAGAATACGGTTTTCAGGAAGCGATTTTCCCTCTTGTCCTCCCTTCTGCTGCGGGGATATTCAAACGAAGCCTGGAGTCATCCCTTCAGCCCCACCCCCTCCCTCTGGATGGAGAATGGATCAGAGTGCCTGGGAGGTAAACAACAACAACAACAACAAACCCCAGAAAACCCCCCCAGAGGCCCCAGCTCCACTGAGTACCTGCTGCTGCTCTGGGTCGTAGAGCGAGCCTCACTGAGATGGGTTGAGGGGGGAAGGACTAAAAGGCATAAAATTAAAGACAAGACGAATAAAATTTGATCAAAGAGAATACTGCTAGACTACCTAGCAGTTTAAATTACATTTACCACAACTGACAGGGAGGGGGTAATCATGAGTAATAAGTCCAGGCTCTGGAAAGAAATTATGGGCTCAATAATGACAGGTAACACCAGGGGAAGTCACTGATTCACCTTCCCAGGGAGAACTCAAGATAGGGAATAAAACCCATCAATCACACCGAGACAAATTTCACTTAGTAGGGTCCCTAGATAGTCTAGGATCTGGATTCCCAAACAGCTTCCAAGTTCAACCTAGAGCCAGAAAGGAGGCAGTAATGCAAAGACCACCTCCAGCTGACCTTCCGGTCCAGCTGGCCTTCACCCCCCGCCTCTGCGTGGTGGCCACCATCACATCCCGGCCTTGGCACGGCCAGGCGTAGTCAGTTATTAGGCGAGGGCTGCCCCTTGCTCATGTCTGTTCCATCAGCTCAGACCACACTACGCTCCTGGGGCCATCTCAATACAAAGGGTCCCTGGAACCTTCCTACCAGGTCGATCTGAGCCCTGAAACAGTGCTCGGACCCTCCTGCTCTCTGCAGGTTCTTCCTGCCACCTCCTCACAGGACCCCGAGTTCCCCACGTCCCTGCTATTTCTCACTACAGCGTAGCAGGAAAGTGGTCTGATCTGACTCATTTCATTCACACCCACCCTCTAAGCGTTCGGCCTGTGTGGGGGGCGGCAGGGACCTCCTGCGGACCTCATGTGCAAGGCGACCCTCACGAGAAGCGAAGCCTCCACCCCACACCCGCCCCCACCTCCCAGCCATTGCCCTGTGGGCGAAAGTCTCCCCACTGCCCCTGCGCATGTACTCCCTGGCTTGGACCTGTCAGCGAAGGAAGGAACGGGTAACACCTTACTGCAGAGACAAGGAGGGGCTACCGCTGTCTGGCGTCAAGCCGAGGAAGGCCCTGGAAACCCCGTCCTGCTCCAGAGGAGGGACCCCTTTTGTTCAAAGACTGAAGGGGCCCGGGAACTCAGGTTTCAGATCCACGGGTCTTCAGAAGAGGGGTCTGCAGAATCTCAGCTCCCTGACATCCTGCACCCTGAGCAAAGCTGCCACACGCCTTCCCCTGTGTCCCGCCCCCGCAGGGGCTCTGTGACTCCCTGGCCAGAGCTGCGGAGAGGCCCCGCCTCCTTCCCCTCAGGGCCCTGCCCGAGCAGACATCCCTCATCCACGCCGGCAGCTAGGAGGGGCTCGATGGCACGGTGGTGTCGGGGAGGGAATGAGAAAGACTACGCTCAGCCTCCTGCCTCATCAGGCAGGTCACCTGTTTCCAGCTTAAAACAAAAGTAAAGTGGAGGGACATTCCTCTCAGAAAATCTTCAGCAGGAAAGGGTTCTACTTTTATTTTCCTTTGGTCACTCTTAGAGCTGGCTTAAAGAAACACAGGGATCTCAATTTACCAGAATAAAAGTTAAATTGACCAGAAATGCAGCTCACCGGCATCTTCAAGATATCAGACTATTATTCCTGCTTTTCAGAAATGGGGCATCTATAACAAAACAAATACGTAACCCCCCCCCCCATCTCTTTGTCCACTGTGAACATGTACTGGGTGCCTAGGGTTTTGTCAGAGATGCTGCCTGAAGGCTCCTGGCTCTCCTCTGGGGGCAAAGTACAGGCGTTGTCACCGTGATGCCTCCTCTGAACCTCCAGCCCCGGCCCAGCCTTCGCATCCGAACGTGGCCCCAGCATCACCTGAGGCTGCAAGGGCCGAGGTCTCTGCTTATCAAAATGTACTTGCTTCGATCAGCAACTCAACTCTGGAAGGACACACATCCAATTGTTGATTGTGACAGCTGGGGGCAAGAGCAGCATGAAGAGAGACCTTCTCTTTCCCTCTACCTAGTTCTATATTGCTTTAAAAAAAAAAAAAACAAAAAAAAACAAAACCAGAGAATGAGTTCATGGGCTCCTTCGAACTTAAAACAATAAGCGGCCCAAAGGGCAAAGGAAGCGACTGGTTTCAACGACAGGGCCAGGCCGAGCAGGGTGCCTGATGGAGGCTGGGCTCCAGAAGCAGGGCCTAGCAGCAAGGCGATCACTCCCCCTAACAACAAAGAAGAGTCCTTGGCTCAGAAGAGACCCAGCAATCCTGGAAGTTCTCTTCAGGGCTCAGACACAGCCCAGGCGCCCTCTCTGGTCCCCTCCAGTGTTCTCACCTTGTGACGGCCAAGGGCCTCTGCTCTCCAACCCACCCCTCCCGGGACTTACATGGCCCCTCCTGACTCCTGGCAGCATCTCAGGGCACGTGGAGTGTGCATGTGCCTTCAAGCTCACCTGGCCCCAGGTGCCTCTCCCTGCCTATTGAACACAGAGGTATTTACTTCGTTCCAGCATCTCTCAAAGCTTGCCCAGGTTAAAGGTGGGAACCTTCCCCAGCACGAGAGCCTGTCCAGCCTTTGAAGAACCTTGTGTCGGATGCAGAGGCCAGTTTCTGGCCAATCCCTTCTAATGACAGCCCTCGCTTCCCACCATTCCCCCTGGTGGGAACAAAAGGGAAGTTTAGCCACAGAAGCAGCCACAGAGGTTCCCCCTGCCTCCTCATTGCTCACCTGGGCCGCTGGCACTTACCTGCAGATGTAGTTTGTCTTGCAGGAGTCCTGCAAACTGAGACAGTTGGGCTTCTCCCTCTCCTCGTAGGAGCACACGGGCACGATGGTCTGCCGCCGCCGCTCGGTGCAGGCGATGTCCCTGCAGGAGCAGAAGAGCATCCCGTAGCTGTGCTTGGCCGGCACCTTGTCGAAGAACTGCCGCAGGGCCTTGTGGCACTTGCGCCGGTTGCAGACTTCGTTGGACACGCTGGTGGTACACGGGGTGATGTAGGCAGACCTGTACTTCTTGCAGGTGTCGTCGAGGTTGCAGGCCTTGGCGGCGTCCAGGCAGTTGTTTCCTTTGGAAATGTGCTCCACTGCAAAAGGACAGAAAGCCGGGCGTGACCACCGTGCTAGGCGCCCGGACCTCTCACACCTCCTCTGTTTCGATCGAGACCTTGCGTTTCCCTGGCAGTGCTGGGAACTCTGATCAACTCTGAGTTTTTAAGCTAATAACTTAACGAGTTCAAGACAAGGAGGACATATTGAGAGCAAATGCTGGAAGCCCATGGCAGAACACAAGCTCCAAGCACTTTCTTAGATGTATAATTAGGAGGTATTGAGAGAGGCCTAAGGAGCTCAGGCACCTGCCCAACCACGTATAAACAAAGCAACAGGAGGAGAAGTTTCCAACTCCTGGCTGGCAAACTGAAATTAGGATAAAAGAAAAAGCAACAAATTATATACTTGTTCATTATACAGTATATAAATCGATACACTGAATGTAAGTATAATTGCCATGCAATCCTCCGGGAATATAATTATGTAATAAATGCATATAGTACATGCTAATTACTATATGATTACAGAGTAATTACATGGTTATTTGAGCCCAGAAGACAAAATATTATGCCAGGCTCGCTAAACAGGAAGAAGCAACTACAGCGAAGCTGTGATTAAGTTCTAGCTCACAGGCCATTGGAAGAAAACCAGAATAAGTTACAAAAAAATTTACAAATCTCAATTACCACTTACCTTACCACCTACAAAACATGGGATCTGTGAATACTGAGGTGCAGATTAGAAAAATTTGGTTAGTTTTTTGGGCAGAATTTCAATGGGCTCATAAACCACAGGCCTTTGGAATCTCACAAAACACATTCTACTGCCCTGGCCGGTATGGCTCAGTTGGTTGGGCATCACCCACAAAGTGAAAGTTCTCTGGTTTGATTCCTGGTCAGAGCACATACCTAGGATGTGGGTTTGGTCCCCAGTCGGGACATGTATGGTCCCTGGGTCGGGGTGCGTACAAGAGGCAACTGATTGATGTTTCTCTGTCACATCTATGTTTCTCCCCTTCTCTTCCTCCCTCCCCTCCCCTCCCCTCTCTCCAAAATAAACAACTAAATATTTTTTTAAAAGAAAAACATATGCTGCCTCCTGCTCAAGCCCTCTGCTGTCCGAGACACTGGGGCTATCCGCCGGTAGCCTGCAGTACAGGCAGGGCCCACAGGCGTGGCTGGGTGGGCAGGCAGAGCCAAGCCCAAGGGGTAAAGTTAGAAGATAAGTGGACAAGAGAAATTAATCCCAGTCACCATGATACAGGTTGTTTCCACAGAGAGAGGAAGTGATGGAAAAACCTCCAGAGCCAAATTATAAGGCAGTCCATGGAAAATTGATAATAAGTTGCAATAGAGAACCCTCTGGAAACAACAGGGAGGCAGCAGACACCACACAATTGTGTAATCTGATCCCCAGCAAGTTCCTGCTCAGCCCTCACACCTTCCTTGGATTCTGGAACCTTCTTTCATTCTCTTTACAATCCCAGTCAATGCAGACCATGAAAGCAATTACAAAAGAATTACCAACAGAGGAGAAAGAGTCCAGGTGGCTTGGGTGGGACTAAGACAAGGCACTGAATTCAGTATATGCCCGAAGGGCACGTGGAATATTATGCAGCCTTAAAAAAGGAAGAAATCCTGCCATATGTGACAACGTAAGTGAACCTTGAGGACATTACACTAAGTGAAATAAGCCAGCCACAGAAGGACAAACACAGTATGATTCCACCTACATGAAGTATCTAAAACACTCAAACTCATAGAAGCAGGGAGTAGCAAGGTAGTTGCAGGAGGCTGGGGTGGGGGAAGGGGGAAATGGGGAGTTATTATTCAACGGGTATAAAGGCTCAGCTATGCAAGATGAGCACGTTCTAGAGATCTGCTGTATAACATCGCACCTATGCTTAACAATATTATATCGTGCACTTAAAAATCTGTGGAGAGGGTAAATCTCACGTTACACGTCCTAACTGCAATGAAAAAAATTTTAAAAGAAGTGAACAAGTGAAGAACACACAGAGCCAAGTCCAACATTTCTCTCCCTGTTGTACCGACAGTGTGTTTTGCTTCAAGAAAACCACACATGCAAAAAGCTGCAAACAAAATTGTACCCGGGCACCACGAGCAGTATTTTACTATGTTCCAGGTTCATGGTCCTGCCTGTGATGCCTGAATCCAACCATTTAACGTGGAGGCAATAAACAAGGCGTTCAGCCCTTTCGAGGTGAGCAGTGCATGGAGCCGGCAGCTGCGCCTGCATCCCTGCTGCGTTAACAAGCACACCTGGAGCTTTCTCTCCGTCGTGGCCTTCCGAGGCCGGCTTCTCTCCGGCTCCTGTTTGCACACTCGGGCTCCTTAGGGCTCGAGGAGGGAAATACTCACCCTGTGCACTGACAAGATCACCAGGACCTCCAGGCCTTGGTGACACTTCTAGCCTTTTCTTCTTTTGAGACGTCTAATGTCATTGTATTGGGCCCACGGGCAACAGAGATTTATATTCTTGTAGGCCTAAGATTTGCTTGGAGGCTTCTAAATTATGCTTTTTTTGATGATAATTAAAATAACATGACCACACTCTAAATCATCTAGATTAGGCCTATAAAGCTGGATATTATACACGATTTGCTGCATGCATTTATACTTGCATTGGTATTGGATGATACTCTATAAGGTCTGGCTAAAAAGAAAAGAATAGCAGCGTAGAGGTAGAATTAACGCTTAAATGATGCAGCCAGTGATATATGAACAAACAACAGTTCATGTAAATCCAAATGGGGAAAAGTGACTGGAGAATTGTCGTCATGTGGCGCCGAGGAAAACAGGACTGCCAAACCCAAAAGAACCCAAGCTGAAACGGGGCACTGCCTTCTGAGTATAAGCACCAAGCCAGCTTCTGCAGAACGCCATCACCCCTTAAATTAAACCAATGAGATTACCTCGCATTTCATTGTTGGCAAAGTTTTGTTCATACTTCATTTGTATGCCTTGCTTTTATAGTCATATAAAAGCAAAGAATAAGAATTGACATTTTTGAGTTTATCAGTTTCAAATAAAATTGGAACAAAAATGAGAAAACTCAACAAGTAAGGTCCAGAAAATTTAATTTTCTCTGAATGTAGTCCACATAATACGCAAGTTCTTAAAAATTGGCCTGGAAAAAAAATTCCTTTCATGGGTCTTGACAATGATTTTTTGGCTAGGATGCAAGTATCAGAATAAAAAAAACAAGTGAGCAGGACTACATCACACTAAGAAAACTTCTGCACAACAAAGGAAACCATTGACAAAATGAAAAAGCAGCTGATGGGATGGGAGAAAATATTTGCAAGTTATATATTTCCTATGTGGCTAACATCTAAAATATATAAAGAACTCATATAACTCAATAGCATAAACACAAATAACCCATTTCAAAAATGGGCAAAGGACCTGAATAAACATTTTTCTAAAGAAGATATTCAAATGGCCAGTAAGTACATGAAAAGATATTCAGTATCACTAATCATTAGGGGAGAACAAATCAAGACCACAATGAGCTATCACCTCACACCTGTAAGAATGTCTCTTATTAAGCAGTCAAAGAACAGTTAGTATTGGCGAGGACTTGGAGAACAGGGAACTCTCATGCACTGTTGGCGCCATTGCAAATTGGTGCAGCCACTGTGGAAAAGTGTGGAGACCCCTCTAAAATTAAAAATAGAACTACCTTACGACCTAGCAAGTCCACTCTGGTTATTTATCTGAAGAGAATGAAAACACTAACTCAAAAAGATACATGCATCCCCTATGTTCACTGTGGTATTACTTACGAGAGCCAAATATGGAAACGACCTAAGAGTCTGTCAACGAATGAATGAAGAAAGAAGATGTAAATATGCATACACAATGGAATATTACTTAGCCCTAAAAAAGAAGGAAATCCTGCCATGTGCAATGACATGGATGGACCTCAAGGGCATTATGCGAAGTGAAATAAGTCAAAAAAGACAAATACTCTATGATCTCATTTATATTTTGGTAAAAAAAATATAACCAAAATAAGTAAAACTCAAAGGAAAAAAATCAGATTTGTGGTTAGCACAGGCTGGGAGAAAGGGGTAGGGGAATTGGATAAAGGTGGTCAAAAGGTACAAATTTCCAGTTATAAGGTAAATAAATCATGGGAATGTAATCTACAATACGATGACTATTGTTAACACTTCTCTGCGGTATATTTAAAAGTTGCTATGAGAGTAAATCCTAATAGCTGTCATCACAAAGAAAAAAAGCAACTTCTCCTCCTCTTTCTTCTTTTTCTCCTCCTCCTCTACCTTCTCCCCCTCCTTCTACAATCTCTCTGAGGTGATGGATTGTTAACTAAACTTCTAATCATTTCACAATATATTTAAGTCATTATGCTGTACTCCTTAAACTTACGCAGTGCTATATGTCAATCATATTTCAATAAAATCGAAACTGGTCTAGTGTTATACCTGCTATTACAATAACATGAACTTCCTTTTTGAAGCTGTTAAAACTACATGAACTACTAATTAATTATATGCTTCTTAATGGTATCAAGAAAGAAAAGCAATATTTCAAAGAAAAAAGCTTTCTACACAGTGGGACTAAGATGGACCATTTTGGGTCCAAAACCAGTTGTTCAAAGTTGACTCAGTTTAGCATCGATGTGACTCAGCCTCACTTTCAGCTGATTCTGCTTCACTGGAATGTGACACTGCCACAGCACTATCTCCTTACCATTCTTTCAGAGCTTATGACAAATTTCAGGATGCACAACTTGGCATATTCAGAGAGGCAAAAACTACTAATTGATTTGCAGCTCACTGGTCAACGCTGTACTTCCTTTTTGTTTTTGATTCTTATTCACAAAAAACATGCTCACGACTCTTTCCAACTTAATATATGAGACCAGTATTACCTACATAGCTGATCCTGACAAACACAAAAGAAAAAATTACAGACTAATATTCTTTACAAATATGGATTCAAAAAATTTTACTATGTAGTATTTATAAATATGTTAAAAGGATAAT